ACGATTGTTTTCGTCTTCCCTCGGTTCTTTTAAATTTCCTTCAATCTGTGTCCTCTGGTTAGGCTATGTCCTGCTCCCTTTTATTTGACAGTGCCACTTAGTTGCAGGAATGGTGCTGGTCTCTGTATGGACTTAGGAGGGTACACCCTGTACCTCTGTCAGATTCAATTTTCTCAGATCTAGTGGTCTGTAGAAGACCTTCTTGCAGTTCTTTTGTGAAGAGCTTTCCAAACTTTTTGTCACAGCCTAAACCAAAAGACAGATCCTCATGCATTCTAAAGAATGTGAGCAAGCAAACGTTGGTGCTGTTTTTTTGTTTTTGAGGTGTTCTCATTGCAACTTTCTAAGCCCCCTGATGTTGAAAACATGGAACGCTCCTCCGTCTCCTGCCCCCTTGTTCCCCCGACACACGTGCACGCACACACACACCCCCGCTGTGTTCTCCCCTGAGCCAAATGCCTTATTGGTGTTGATAATAGCATGGGTTGGAAGGATGCCTGTGTTTGTAATAGCTTTGTTTTCACATAGTAATTACTGTTGCTTGCTGTGTGATTGGAGAGCACTGTAATCTCCATTGACGTCTTTCTCCTCTCACACTTAGGAAGCTACTCGAGGTTCTGTGGCTGTAGAGGAATTAAGCCCAAGTGAATTGCAAGCTGTCCATTCCAGACCACTCCATGATGTTCAAGGTAAGGGTTACAAGTACCTGTTCTTGTCTTTCCAGCGTTCTCTCTTTTTGTTCCAACAAGAGGCTCGCATTAGCCTTCTGTGTTCATGCACTGAGGACCCAAGCTGTTTCACGAGAGAATAATCTGAGAAAGCTCAATACTGAGGCGAGCAGGTGACCAAAGGCTCGGTCAGAGAGAGAGAGATGAAAGAAAAGTGGTTGAAAGATTGATGTTGAAAGATGGCTGAGGGTTTGTAGCCCAAAAGTAAGCATTCTTTTATGCATGGGTACAAACTGAATGATGTGTTGGCCCAGGTTCAGTTGTTGTTGGAAGCATATTATTAAACTGGAGAGGGTTCAGGAAAGATTTCACAGGATACTGCCAGGACTGGAGGGTTTGTGTTATAGGCAGCAGCTGCTTAGGTTGGGACTTGTTTGAACTGAGCATAGGAAGTTGAGAGGTGACCGTATACAGGTTTATAAAATGTTGAGGGATATAGATAAGGCAAATAGCCAAGGTCTTTACCCTGGGGTTGGGGGAGTTCAAAACTAGGGGGCATACTTTTAAGGTGAGAGGAGAAAGATTTGAAAAGGGAACAAGGGGCAATTTTTTTGTTTTAATAGCGTGTAGTTCATAGGTGAAATGAACTGCCAGAGAAAATGATTGATGCAGATGCAATTACAACAATCAAAAGACATTTGGATGGATATATGGATAAGAAAGGTTTTGGTGGATATGGGCCAGGAGTAGGCAGGTGGGACTAGTTTAGTTTGGGATTATACTCAGCATGGACTGTTTGGACCGAAGGGCCTGTTTCCATGCTGTATGGCTCTCTGACTCTGTCTCTGCATCCTTGTGAGCTGTTTTCTCCAGAAGCTTCCCCCATTGCCATTCTGGATGGAGGACTGGCTAACTAACGGAAGACCGAGTTGGGATATGCAAATTGTTTTCAGGATGACAACCTGTAACAAGTGTAGTATCACAATGATCAGTCCTGGAGCCACAATTGTCTCCAATATATATCAATCACTTGGATGAGGAAAGAAAATGTACTATAGGAAACTTTACGGATGACACAAAATTAGATGGAAAAGCAAGTGCTAAGGATGACACCACAATCTGCAGGGTAAGTGAGTGGACAAAAATGTGGCAGATGAAATACAATGTGGGGAAAATGTGAGGTTTTGCAATTTGACAGGAAGAGTAGAGGAGCTGAATATTCTTTAAATGGAGAAAGACTGCAGAAATCTGCAACATGGAGAGATTTGGGTGTCCCTCGTCATGAATCTCAAAAAGTTAGTATCCAAGTTTATTGGGTAACACAGGAGGTAAATGGAATGCTGGCCTTTATTTCAAAGGATATGGAATATAAAATAGAGAGGTATTGCTAGAACTAGACAAGACACCAGTCAGACCACACTTGGAAACCTATGAACAGTTTTGGTCCCCTTATCTAAGAAAAGATATCCTGGCATTGGAAATGCTTCTGACTTGAGATCAACAGAAAAAAGGCTGGAGAAGGCAGTCTGTGCTTTCCTGGACAAATCAAGTTTTTATTTATTGTCTCAATAATTGGGTTTGTATATGTGGAACTTGTGTTTATTTGAACAGCATTCCAGTAGAATTTTGTTTAGTTAGGAGTTAAGGGGGAATTGTTCAGGTAGTTAGTAGTTCTGTTAATTTCTTCACTGTTTGGGTTAAATAAATAAATTGTTGCTTGTTATTTATAAAGCGGATAAGGGGTTTTCTTTCTTTTAACTTTTTTTTAACAGATTAGGCGAGGTGAGGTGAGTTTCTCTGGGTATTTCAGGTTTAATTACTAGAAGGGTACCTCTACTCCCGTCATAACTAGTTGATTGGGGCTTATGTTTTGGTTTAATTATCAGAAGAGTTCGACCTTCCCTTCCTAACAGGTTGGGGGCTCAAGTTTGGGATCTGGCTGGTTCATGTATGGGATCTGAATGGATAAGCAGACTTGCGTTTAAGAGTCTTAGATCTTTAAATAAAACTTCGGTGAGAAAAAAATCTGTTTAATTTCAGTTACTTGTCATTGGTTAAATCAAAAGTGAGAGAAATGGCCTTAACGTTGCTAAAGAGGTTCTGGGGTATGAAGATGCTTCCCAAATTTGCCAGGAGAGTTTAGAAAGACAGAGGAAGGATGTACTTTTAGATTTAGCAAACAGGCTAGAATTGAGTTTAATTAGGGATAAGAGGAAAGATGAAATTGTAACAGTCGGTCAAGCATTTAGGTATACCAGAGAAATAGGCAAGTGCAGTGGAGTTAGAGAAAAATTAAACTGAAAATTAGACAACTGGAGTTAGAAGAGAAAGGGAAAGAAGAGCCATGTTAGAAGATAAAGCGAGGGAAGGTTCTTAGCAGGGCAAAAAGAAGAAAAAAAGAAATGGAAAGAATGTTCGAGTCGGAAAAGATGAAGTTGGAACTTGAAGCAAAAAGACTTAAATGGCAGAAGGAAAAGTACAAGATAGAAGTGAGGATGAGCAAACTCTTTGTGGCCAATAGCCTAGTAGGGAGATATAGAAATATGCCCAAACATTACCAAAATTCAATGAAAAGGATGTTAGGAGCATTTTTTGTTTCCTTTGAGAAACTTGCTAGGCAGATGTATTGGCCAGAGACTGCATGGGTAATGTTGCTCTGCCTACCAACTTGGTAGGAGTTTAGTGAGGTGTTTGCAGTGCTGTCAGAGGTGGTGTCAAGAGATTATAAAGATGTCAAACAGGCTATTTTGAGTGCCTATGAATTGGTACAAGAAGCATATAGACAATGGTTCAGAAACATAAAGAAGGAACCAGGTCAGACTTGTGTTGAGTTTGAAAGAGTTTTAAATATAGCAACTTCAAAAGGTGGGTGAGAGCTTTAAAGATCGAAAAGACGTATGAGGATCTTGGAGAGATTATTCTGCTGGAGGAGTTTAAAAACTCACTTCCAGAGACGATAAGAACTCATTGAACAGAAGTTCAAACAGCAAGAAAAGCTGCAGAGATGGCGGATGAATATATATTAGTGTATAAATCGAAATCTAGCTTCCAACAGCAATTTCCTTCTGTGAGGGATAGAAATAGGGAAAGAGGGAGATCTTCCAATGAAAAACACAAAGTAGATCACACTGGGAACAGTTTACCATATGTGAAAAAAGAAACCCAAGAGGGTGAAAAGGGAGGTGAAAGGCCTCGGGTGTTTTCACTGTAATAAGGTGAGACACACAAAGTCACAGTGGTGGTGGTGTAAGAAAGGCTCAGGGAAAAAGGATGTAGTAAAAGATGCTAAACAAGTGGGATTAGTTTGAGATAGTGAAGGAAATCCCAAAAGGAGTCGAGGAGCTGCAGGACAGTGCACAGCCTAATTACAGGCTATATGGTGAGATGGTGCCCCATCTCCACCTCTATGGTCAGGTTTACTCAGGAAGAGCAGGGGGGAGAAGGTAAAGAAGTTAAAATATTGAGATACGTGAGCTGGTCAGTCTCTAATAGTAAGAGATGAAAGTATTTGCAGTTCTTCTGAAATGTTACCCGAGAGAATGGTAATCTGTGGAATAGATGGACAGATTTAGAATTCCCTGTGTAAGATCAGGCTGGAAAGTCCGGTCAAGACTGGGGAGTGACAATGGGAGTGATTGAAAGAGTGTCTATTCCAGGAATACAGTTTGTTCTTGGAAACGACCTAGCCAGATCCAAAGTGAAAGTGATGCCCATTGTAGTGGAGAAGCCAAAGGAAAACCAGGGAATTGAGGAGTTAAAAGAAAAATAACCAGAAATTTTTCCAAACTCTGTGGTAACAAGATCCCACAGTCATAAGCTACAGCAAGAAGGAAAAACAAAACAGAAAGATGAAGGAGTTGAGGTCCAGTTAGCTGACACCCTGTTTGATAAAATGGTAAAGGAAAAATCTGAACAGGTAGAGGATCAGGCAGAGGTGTTTACAACAAAAGTTACAACAAAAAGATGAGACAATAAAAATCTATATCATAAAGCCTACTCTGAAAGGAATCAATGTATTCCCGAGTGTTGCTATCTTAAGGATAGAATCCTAATGCAAAAATAGAGACCTCGGCAGGTTAGTGCAGACGAGAAAGGAGCAGAAGTTCACTAGATTGTGTTGCCGGAAGCATACAGATGGAAAGTATTATGGGTGGCACACGAATTAGGTAGGAGGTCATTTAAATGTGAGGAAGACTCAGGTTAAAATACAAAAGCATTCCTATTGGTCTGGATTGCGTAAGGATGTGGTTGACTTTTGTCGTACCTGTCATTCTTGTCAAATAGTAGGAAAGCCACAGGCAGTAATAAAACCAGCACCTTTGATGCCAATTCCTGCATGTGAAGAACCTTTTTATGTGGGTTATTATTGATTGTGTAGGTCCCCTCCTTAAAACCAAAAGTGGGAACCAGTATTTGCTAAGTCTGCCCGGTTTCCGGAGACCATTCCATTACAGAACATCAAGGCAAAAAGCGTTGTGGAGGAGTTGCTTGCTTTCTTTACCCATTATGGCCTACCCAGGGAGATTCAGTCAGACCAAGGGTCCAATTTTACTGCTAAATTATTTGAGGTGGTCATGGATAGTTTAAGTGCATGCCATCCTGAATCCCAGGGAGCATTGGAAAGGTGGCATCTGACACTAAAGGCTATGCTGAGGGCAAATTACCAGGATTGCCCAAACAATTGGGATAAAGGTCTCCCATTTATGTTGTTTGCCATTACAGATGTCCCAAATGAAGTGACGGTTTATTCCATCCAAGTTGATATTTGGACACTAAGCAAGAGGGCCTTTAAAATTAATTAAGGAAAAGTTGATGGATCCGAAATCAGAGATCTCACAGTTGTATTATGTACCTGAAGGGTGACAGAGATTAAACAGTGTGGGAGAATTAGTTAGACAACATCATTAGATGCTGTACCATCTTCAGAAGCAAGAAGCAGATGATAAGAAATCTAAAATTCGGATGTTTGGCTGTGGGGATAAAGTATTGGTGCTGATACCAGTGATAGGAGATCCCTTCAAGACAACCTCGCAGCACTTAAACTCAATTCCCCTGCCATTGAAAGCCAACACACCATACGCCTTCTTTGCTACCCAAGTTGATAGGGTTGTAATTTTGAGGCATCTATGGATGTGGACCCCAAGATCCCTCTTCCTCCACACTACTGAGAATCCCGCCATTAACCCTGTATTCTGCATTCAAATTTGACCTTCCAAAATGAATCACTTCACACTTTTGGATGGGGATGACTAATAATACAGTACATGAGGTTGAAGTAGAGAATGCTGTTCCAATGAAACAACACCCATACAGGCTTAATCCTCTTAAAGCTGCACAGGTACAGAAGGAAGTAAAAGAGATGCTCCAAGAAGACAACATCGAGCTGAGTCAAAATGTGTGGAGTTTGCTGATCATATTGGTTCCCAAACCTCATGCTACTCAATGGTTCTGTATGGATTATCAGAAGGTCAGCACTGTAACTAAATCAGACTCGTACCCAATTCCAAGGCTGGAGGACTGTGTGGACAAAGTTGGACAAGCCACTTCTCTCTCAAAGTTAGACTTACTCTGTGGTTACTGACAAGTACTTTTGTCAGAGAGAGCGAAGGAAGTTTCTGCATTTGTAACCCCAAACGAGCTGTATCAATTTAAAGTAATGCCCTTTGGAATGAAGAATGCACCAGCCACACTTCAAAGACTTATGAACAGAGTTTGTGGCAGGATTAACTAATCGTGCTGTCTATATAGATGACTTAGTGATTTTTAGCTGTTCGTGGAAAGATCACATGGTGCATTCGTTAGAACTTTTTGAAACAGTACAGGAGGCAAAACTGTTTATAAACTTAACAAAAACTGAATTTGCGAAGGCGGAAGTGGTATTCTTGGGACACAACATCGGACATGGAAGGATGACCCCGAGGAACGTGAAGACGAAGGGAATCGAGGAATTTCCAAGACCATCCTCTAAGAAAGAGCTGCTTTGATTTTTGGGGCTGAGTGTATTGTAGTGGAAGTTTGTGCCAAACTTTAGTAGTGTGGTGGTGCCACTGACAGATTTACTAAAGAAGAACACAAAATTTCAGTGAACAGAACAATGCCAGGAGGCATGTGAGAATTTAAAAGCAGTGTTAACCACCGCACCAGTTTCAGCCACACCAAATTTCTTGAAACCCTTTAAAGTCGCTATTGATGCCAGCAACAGTGTGTTTGGAGCTGTGTTGATGCAGGAGAATGATGGAGTTGAAAGGTCGATTGGTTATTTTTCAAAGAAACCCAATATTGATTAGAGATAATACTCCACCATTGAACAAGAGTTGTTGAGTTTGGTACTGGCCATACAACATTTTGTTTGTAACATAAACATCAATGTTTCGGGGGACAGTTGTGCATACAGACCACAAACTGCTCATCTTTTTTGGGAAAATACAACACTGTTTCATTGGAGTCTTATGTTACAGGCTTTTAATGTATAGATTGTACGTGTTGAGGGTCGTAAAAATGTTATTGCAGATGAGTTATCGCAGGATTTAAACAAAATGTGTAGATAGGATAGAATTGGTACAGTTCTATGGTGTGTGTGTGTGTGTGTGTGTGTGTGTATATAAATGCAGAATTTGTATGAAATGTGTAACTTTAGATTACTGACCTACATATCTCATGATAATGGTGTTAGGATTTAGAGTGAAAAAAGCCATCGTTTCATAATGATGGCTCATTATTTTTCTTAAGGGGGGAAATGTTGCGAAGTTGGTGTGTAAAATTATGAAAAGCGGAGGGGGAAAGCATTGTGTCGTCCCTGTAAAAGATGGGTTGTTTTTTTTTTTTTTGGTGTTTAGAGCTAAATTGGATGCCTGCACAGCAGCTTAAAGTGCAGGTGCATAGAGTGCTCCCGAATTGAAACATTTTGTATCGAACAGCCAAACAGCATTTTTATAAAGACGACAAGTCTCTTCAAGCATTGCCAATCAATTTAAACCAAGCCCTTAGATACTAAAAAACCGATCAAATTTAAATCTGATGGTGTTGACAATCTAGAACCAATCTGATTGTAAAGAAGTGGATAGGTCACCAAGGGTGTAAAATTGAAGACATTTGGAAAATCAGGGAGAGCCAATAGCCATCTGAAGCAAAAGTAAATCCGCCATCTGAGAAATAAATTTGACACTCTCAAAACAAAAAAGTTAAGCTCTCCTTTTTTTTTTTAAAAAAAAAGAACCTTCATAGGTACTACGGCATTTTTGTTTTAGCTTAAGAGTCCTCACAAAGGAAATTCTAGAGAAAATATCCATGACAGCAAGATCAGCAGAAGAAAGACGTTTGTGACTTGAGATCAACAAAAGAGAGGCTGGAGAAGGCAGCATGTTCCAGATGACACAGTCTGTGCAAACCTGGAGAGATTAAGTTTTAATTTATTGTTGTCATATTCATTGGCTTTATATTAGTGGGACTTGTGTTTATTTGAACAGCATTCCAGTAGAATTTTGCTCAGTTAAGAAATAGTTAGGAGTTGGGGGGAAATTGTTCAATTTGTTAGTAGTTCGGTTAATTTCTTAACTGTTTAGGTTAATAAATAAATTGTTACCATTTATAAAGTGCATGAGGGATTTTCTTTCTTTTAACCACTTTTAACAGGTTAGCTGAAGTGAGCTTCTCTGGGTGTTTCGGGTTTAATTATTAAAGGGGGACCTCTACTCCTGTTTATAACAGATTGATAATTAAACCAAAACACAAGCCCCAGAGGGGTTCAACCCCCCCACTTCCTAACAAAAGGAATGAAGGGTTATGGAGGAAAGGCAGGAAAGTGGAGTTGAGGATTATCAGATCAGTCATGATCTCATAGAATGGTAGAGCAAAGTGGATGGGCCATATGGTCTACCTATGTTCCTGTGTGTGTTACGGTCTGAGGGTGAAAATTGCACCTCGCAGACCGGCCAGCTGCTCTTGATAGAGTCACTCTAAGGGTACAGCAGCTGCCAGGATGACATCCTGGATTGGCAAGTGAGCCAGACTGCAGATTGTTCGTGGCGGCAGGGAATATGCAGGGAAAGGTTGTGGGGTATGGGCATCGACACTGAGGTTAAAACTAGTGATCATGTGAGTTTGCTTCTAACAGTGTTTTACCTGATGCAGCAAGGATGATGTTATCTTTCATAACATAACAAACTAGATTTGGATATCAGGGTATTGAAGTAGCAGCTAACTGTCATGTATAAACATGACATTCACCGGCAGATAAGTGTCTGTGTTTATAGCATCAAGCTAATTAAGTTGTAAATGAGAGTATGCTTTCAGTATTGTGTCATGTTTCAAGTGATCCCAGGGGAAGATAGATTCTGAGACCTTTATGTCCTCAGGTCAAATACCATCATATATCATGTCTCTTAAAGGTATATTGCCACACTGACCGAGACACCATACAGTGTGATGAAGCTCTTAAGTGCTCATTAAGTGGCCTAATTACATGCCCTTGCCACCTCTAACTAAACCATTGGAAAGGATGGGAGTTAATGTTCCTGTCTCCCCACTCCTGCCACCTCTTCTGAAACTTGGATGTCTGCCTAATGCTGGAAGCTGAATTTAAGAACAAATTATAATTGGTAAATCTTAATACTGTAATGGGATATGTGTATCTGAGACCACGGCTTACTAAATGAATATCCGATTGTATTACACTGGTTATATAGGGTGGATATCTGAGCTAACGGAACATGATGAGGGAGGTATCTGTGGCCTGCTGCCTGTGTATGAAAATGGTAGAGAGTTCTGAATGTGCCTTCTTTCCAAGTAACTTTTTTTATTAAGACGCTTCTCCCCCAACCCCCCCCCCCCCCCCCCCCCCCGCCACCCCCAACCCCAAGCATCAATTGGTCAGTTGTAAGGGAGCTCTGCAGGATGTTGGAGATAAAGAGGGAGTTAGTAGGCAACTCATCATTAGGACATCCCAGACCTTGGTGATCGAGGGTAAATCCACGACCAAAGCAAGTCTGAGAATAAAAACAGTGAAAATGATCGGAATATTCTTCAGGTCAGGTCCCATCTGTGAGGAGGGAGGAACAGGTTAGTTTTACAGATGGCTGACCACTTGTTAGAACTCCTGGAGATCTAGCTTGCCTTCTGAATGGGGTCCTCTGCTGGGATACTTAAATAGGGGAGCTAATCACTGTCAGAAACTGGAGATTGCTCATTTGCTTCACATACTAATCCTGCTCTCCTTTCCAGTGATCAGCATCTGTCCCTTTCCCTCGGGGCTGTAGTTATTTTCTCACTACTTCCTGATCCCATAGTAAGGCTACCTTCTGCATAGATTTTGAGATCTGATTGAAGTTGTTCCTTTCTATGCTGCAGACACCTTGGACAATTGTGACTTTGTTCCCTTTCTGTGCTTCCAAAAGTACATAAAACAGGCAGGTAATTGAAAATCTTAATGAAGTGGTTTTATTGGAGTGAACTCTGAGATGGCAAGATTGAGTTGGAAAGTAGCCTTTAGTTTCAGTGGGTTGATTTCTGATGCCAGTAATTTGTGTCAGATGGTAACATGCGTTGTCGATCTCTCAGCAGCAAATTATCAGTCTCCTGGTTGTAAGATTCAAGATCTACTGAACCTACAGAGGTAAAACTTGATACAGTCTCAACTCCTTTTCGTTGTTCAACCTGTTGTTCAGTGTGTTTTTGAAATTGTGGAATATGCAAAAACTGAAGGTCTTTGTACATTTATCCCCCTCACCACAGAACCTTGAATACTGAACAGGACATGGAGGTAAGTTGGGATTGTATGTTATTTAGTTTTATGTAAAATGTCAATATTGAAATGTTCCAAAATCATCATGTTTAGACTAAAGCTCGCTATTCGACATCTGTAAGTAACTCTCCTGCACGTTCTGCACATTCCTGTTATGTGTCTGTTTAGAGAAAGATGGCCAAAATATTTGTGTGAGAGTTGGGGGGGGGGGTGGGGGTTGTGGGTTGTGGGGAGGACAAGTGTCTAGGATTCTTCTGGAATCTCCAGGATTTGAAGACTACTTTCCCAGAAATTGGAAGCAGAGAACAAGCGAAGCAAAGTTGTTGGATGTTTATGAAGGAAAAACAACACGAAAAGTCCTTTTCTTTCCTACATCTGTGTATCAAATTGGGTTCGAAGACTTGTACTTACATAGCGCCCCGTTTACTCAAGTGTTCCACACCCAATGAAGTGGAGGCCCAGCTTAATTGTAGGAAACAGTATCGGAGGTCAGGGGGTGGGTAAAGTGGAGGGAATGCCAGCAAGAGGAGGAGTATGGGGAAAGAACTGTCTTTTTAATGTGGTGATTGATTATAACATGAAGATCCTGTGCTATCGACAACTCTGTTTCTATGATGCTGTGACTATTAATTGGGTCACACTGAATGCGCACAACAATGGACAACTACAGACAACTGGTCTATAGTTCCCTGGCTTTTCCTCACCACCTTTCTTAAATAATGGTGCTACATTAGCAAATTTCCAGTCTTCCAGCACCTCACCTGTGGCTATTGATGATACAAATAACTCAGCAGGGGGCTCAGCAATCACTTGCCTAGCTTCCCACAGAGTTCTAGGGTGGACCTGATCAGGTCCCAGGGATTTATCCACCTTTTATGCGTTTCAGCACACCCAGCACCACCACCCTCTGTAATACGGACACTTTTCAAGGTATCACTATTTCTTAGTCCAGGTTCCCTATCCTCCTCCACGGTAAACACTGATGCAAAATACTTGTTTAGTATCCCTTCCCATCTCCTGCAGTTCCACACTGAGGTGGCCTTACTGATATTTAATGGGCCTTATTCTCTCCCTAGTTACCCTTCTGTCCTTAATGTATTTATAGAAACACTTTGGATTCTCCTTCTAACCCTATTTGCCAAAGCTATCTCGTGTCCCCTTTTTTCCCTCCTAATGGGACTAGATTAATTTAGAATATCTGATTGGCATGGACGAGTTGGACCAAAGGGTCTGTTTCTGTGCTGTACATCTCAATGACTCTAATAACCAGTTTGGATCTTCAACAATGTTGTTTATGTAGACCAAGACAACAGGAAAAAAATCTCCTGCATTAATTCAGAGACCCCGGATCATTTATGCTTCCCTTTGGGACAAAAAAGGGTCTCTGCTTTCAATTCTTGCTCAAAGTGCAACTCTCTGGGCAGGGTAGATCTCTTCCAGTACCAGGCTGGGGTAGAATGTACATGTGGCCATTTCAGGAGAGAGGTGTGGGGCAGAGCTATTTGGAGCTGGGAGATAATATGGCAATTGATCATCACCCACTTTCCACATTCACTCCCATTCCCATGCACATGAATTCAACAGAAACGTGCCTCATAACTTTAACATTCCAAGTAACTTTTTCTCTCATTTGCAGGCTGAATTTCTCCGATTTTCGTTAGCTTTCAAGTGCGACATCTTTACTCTCGATAAGAGATTGCGGCTGGAGGAGCGATCCAGAGATTTAGCTGAAATAAATTTGAAGAAAGAGATTGAGAAATGTCACCAAGCACTGCAGGTCAGCACTGAGTTTGTTGAGTGACCAGAGTTTGATTACCTGCTCCACGACATCATTTCTGTGCTCCGCTCAGACACCGCAAGAAAATAATTCCAGCATGTGCTCTCTGCGTTGCACCTCGCACCATGTTAAGTGCTGAACAAATGCGGGCACATTAGTGACCTGCAAAATTTAGCCTTTCACTGACTTACCCAAGTTGTCAAGTCTCTGTCTGTCTCCCCATCGCTCCCCATCTCTCTCTCTCTCACTCTGATATCCACACCGCCCCCCTCACCATTACCCACTCCAATGGCAGGCTGGTGGGATACCAGAAGGATTGGTGCTTTTGTCATGGCTATTGGTAATCTCTATAAATGAGCTGGATGTGAGGATCAGTAATAATATTTTCAAATTTGCTGATCACAAAACTGGCTTGGAACATAAGTTGTAAGGTGGCTTCAGGAGGATTTGACAGGCGAAATGAGTGAGCTAGAACATGGCATGTGAAATATAATGCAAAGTAACTTGAGAAAACTAAAAAGCCAAATGTTTCTCAAAACGGTGAGGGTTTGGGAAATATGGGTGTCTGATGTAATCCTTGTTCATGGGTTATTTTAAAACTGGCATTTTGGGTGTAGCAAGAAATTCAGAAGGCAGGTGGTTTGTTGGCCTTCATCACAAGGGGATTGGAGTCCAGGAGTAGAGATGTCTTACTGCCGTTGTATAAAGCCCTCGTGAGATGTTGCCTGGAGCATTGTAAACGGTTTTGGTCTCCCCACCAAATGAGGGAATATGCTTGCTGTAGCGAGAGTGCAACAGATTAATCCCTGCGTCAGTGGGATTGTCTTATGAGGATAGACCGGGGTAACTGGAACTGTATTCCCTGCAGTTTCAAAGAGTGAAAGGCAATCTCTTTTTGGAATTTAGAACATTTTTTACAAAGTGTGGCAGCATGGATATGGGTACGATGTTTCCCTTGGTGATTCTGGAACCAGGGGACGTTACCTCAGGATAAGGGTCAAACCATTTAAGACTAAAATGAGGAGGAATTTCTTCACTCAGGATGGTGAATGTTTGGAGTTGTCAAGCCCAAAGCACGGTGGAGATTTGATCTACGAGCATGTTCAAGACAGAAACCAATGGTCTCCAAAAACCTCATGATAACAAGGAATATGGAGGTGCTGCAGGAAAATGGCATTGAAATAGTTAATCAGCCATGATTTAATTGAATGACAGAGAGAGATTGATGGACTGAATGGCCTGTCCCAATGTTCTTTTTCTTTCCTCTCAGATAGTGAAGCCTCTGTGTGAAGAACAGCAATTGCTGGAGACCTTTGAGAAACTAGAGCAAAGTCTTGAGATGCTCACACAGACGATCAGCCGAGTGGCCAGCCGGGCTGAAATGTTAGGAGCCATTCACCAGGTGAACATTTGGTTGTCTTAGTGTCCGTGATCCATGTCAAAGCCAACCGTGCTGGCTAGTGTCTCAAAATTCAGCTTCACCCAACAGTTGCATGCTGTTGTGTAATATGCAAATACCACGCTGTTCTACTTTTGCTTTGATGGTTTTTTTTAAAATAAAAACACACAACTGGTACATTCTCTGCAACACAGCAGTCCAATTTCCAGTTTAATTTCTGCTGCCATCACTCTAGAATGAATAGCTTCCTCCTGCTCCCGTGCCGGTTAAAGTTGAAATTGTGTGTGTGTGTGTAGTTTTACATGTGTTGCGTAACCAATGCACTGAATGTTATTGCTAATTAGGAGATGCGGGTCAGCAAGGCTGTTGAAGTTATGATCCAGTATGTTGAAAATCTGAAGCGTATGTACGCAAAGGAGCACACAGAACTGGAAGAAATGAAGCAGCTTCTTCAGAATGGCAATGCCGGCAACTCATTCAGAGAAATCCAAGGTATGGTTGACACCATTTGGGAGTTGAGTGCAATAATTTCTTAAAATGCCAAAACAAGCTGTTTCCAAGAACCATTTTAGACCAATGTTTGGTAGGTACCTGCATTTGACAGTTATTACAGGAGTTGCTAGTTGGATGGCTGTACCACAGAGATGAAAGGTCCTAGGTTCTATCTCTGTCTGTGCTGTTTTAAGTGGAGCAGTTATTGGGAATGTAGTTCAACTGTCCTCCACTACAACTGCAGAAATTTTATTCACAATGCTCAGTCATCTGTTGCTCTTAATCATATAGCAATCTGCTGGAATTGTGTATCTGCAGGAATCTGCTTCCTTGCCCCTCATGACCAAATAACACGCAACTGCGTATTTCCTGAGCTTGCATGTTCAGTGTTCCCCAGTGTATTGGGATCAGTGTGTTTGGTAGTGAAGAATGATGCTGGGAAAGGGAGGATAATGCAGGCTGTAATACTACTGGAGAATTCTGATGTTCTCTTGCTTAACCTCCTTTTGATTTTTGGACCATTTGTAGAGTGTGAGGACATGTTTGGAAGTTAGACCTCGATACTCATGGAAATGAAAAGAGGAAGTTAGAATAGATCCATATTAACATAGGAACAACACAAGAACAAGCCCTTCAACCCACAATGTTGTGCCAAACATGATGCCAAGTTAAACTAGTCCCTTTTGCCTGCCCTTGGTCCATTTCCTTGCATGTTCATGCACCTATCTAAAAGCCTGTTTTAAATGCCCCTATCATATCTACCTCCACCACTACCCCTGGCAGCGCATTGCAGTCTCCTACCACTCTATGTTTAAAAAAAAACTTGTCCCTCACATCTCCTTTGAACTTTCCCCCTCTTACCTTAAATGCATGCCCTCTATTAATAGACATTTCAACTCAGGGGAAAAAGATTCTGTCAATCCTATCTATGCATCTCCTAATCGTATAGACTTCTATCAGGTCACCCCTCAACCTCTGCCACTCCCAGAGAAAACAACCCTAGTTCATCCAGCCTGTCCTTGTAGCTCACACCCTCTAATCCAGGCATCATTCTGGTAAATACAAAGCAAAAGAGCTGTGGATGCTGTAAATCAAGAACAAAAACAAAGTTGGTGGAGAAGCTCAGCAGATGTGGCAGCATCTGTGAAGAAAAAAATCAGTTAACATTTCGGGGTTCTGAGGTAGGGTCACCTTACCCGAAATGTTATATCCGATTTTTTCTTTTCTTTTTCTTCTTCACAGATGCTGCCAGACCTGCTGAGCTTCTCCAGCAACTTTGTTTTTGTAGCATTCTGGTAAACCTCTTCTGCACCCTCTCCCAAAGCCTCCAGTAATGAGGCAACCAGAATTGAAAGTATGGCATAACCTAAGTCTTATAAAGCTGCAACATCACTTCCTGATACTGGAAGGCGAGAGGATGCTGAGGGGACCACGGGTTGGAGAATCTTTGAAAGAGAGCACAGATTGAAGGCCCAGTACCTTTAGCGTCCCTGTTCCCCACATTATCAGGAAATAATTATCGAACAGACAGTAGTCAGAACAGGCTTAAGTGGTGTGTTTTCGGGTAGCTAAGAAGTTTCAGCAGTGTTAGACTGTTTGAAAGGAAGCTTACTGAAGCGAGAGCAAAGATTTTTCAGAAAAGAAAAAAGGTGAGGTTGACACTGACTGACAATAGGCCAAACAAAGATATTTAACAGATCAGGAAGCGGGAGGGAAGCTGGGGAGTGAGTGATAGGACCAAGGGGCAATTAATTGTTTCTGATGACATATGATGAGACCGAGCTATCCAAGTGGTGAATGTGTTACACCCCTTAAGTTGGCTTTTGAAAGGAGATCTCTTCACACAGTTTAAGTTTGCAAGGTGAAAAATGAATTTTAAATTTGGGTTTTCATTTGCCAAATCAGATTCTGAAAAGCACATATACTGAAAGGAAAATATTATTCTGCATGAAGAATCTTGCCGGACTTGAGAGGTTCATTTGTAAATAGAGCAAGTAAGTCACTGGGATACAATATTGGATTGAACTATGGAGTGATTTCTAACTCGCAGATACATTGGAAAGGGTTTCTTTTCTTTTAAATCCCATCTTGGGATGTGGTCATCACAGAAGAAGCCAACATTCTTGAGAAGGTTACACAACACAAAGACAAACCCTTCAGGCAAAACCAGTCCATGTCAAAACGATGAAGAAGCATTGTTTCAAACCACTACAGTCCTTCTGGTAAAGGTTAGGCAGAATGTTCCAGGACTTCGATCAAGTGACAATAAAGTAACTGGGGTGGAAATAGTTGATCGTGTCAGAATTGACCCTTGAAGGTTTAGTCCCACAGTCCTTCATTTTTCATAAGCCTTGTACTAGTTTGATAATGGGGTTGATGGGAGCAGTTTAGCAAGTCTATTTCAAACTTGCACCTTTCTCATTTAAACACCAGAAATTCCAGTAGACAGTCTCTGGGGGCGTCATTGCCTACTGAATTCAGGACCATGGCCAGCAACCAGTGTCATTTTTAGCAGTTCCAAGGAACTGGCATGAGTTTTATCTGCTCAAAAGAAATATTGGTGTAAACATTGACCCCCGAGTTTTTTTTTTTTTGTTTTTTTTTGTTTCTTTTTTTTTTGCCAAAAGCATAGGTCTGAAAGGTTGACATTTACATGACAATGTATGGCACTTCCAAATCTGAATGGTTTAAGATGCGGGGGAGAATTTGGTAATAGTGCCAACCTGAAAAGTTTGAGGTATACAGGATTCTCAAGAGAAGATTGGGTAACTCTCATTCGTTAAGGTAAAGTAATCCCTAAAAGCTATGTTACTGATGAAAAGCAATTAATATACACGAGATCAAAACTTCAGTTATTGAAACTTAGCACTTTAAGGCAGTAATGAAAGTATGAAGTGCACTAACCCAATGCTATAGAGTGGTGTTGCATTTCATGATCATAAAGATGGTGGGCATTTTGATAAAACTCTGAAGGAATTTATATTTATTGACCTACGGTGTCATTCACTTTCAGATGAGCTGCAAAATAAAAAGTTCCTTTCTACGCATACATTTGGCAAAGTAAGTATTCACAAGTGGTTGCAAAACCTATTGCCCCAAAACAGCTACATGAGTGCTTGAAACTCAAGCCCTCTAGAAGGCCTTATTACACCAGGCCTCCGTTTTGCAGACACGTGACCAAAAAGCCACCGCGGTTGTTGGTTATGTTGTAGGATTTCTCAGCACAGGAGGAGGCTGTTTAGCCCATTATACCTGCGCAGCCTCCTTTTAGAAAATGCTGTGTGTAGCTGTCTCTCGACATGTGCTTTCTCTGTTCCTGTGCAATTTTTTCATGTGCTTCACAATCCTAGAGTGGCACAGTAGTAGTTCCCTTCCTCTGGATCAGGTGGCCCACTTTGAAGTCCTGCCTGCTCTGGCAGGTGCGTAATACATCTCAGAAAAGGGTGATAAGGAAAATATCCATAAGCACATAGTCCAGACTTGCATTGTGGGGGAATGCCTTCTTTTGGATAGAACCTTTAAACTGGGGCCCTTTGTCCACACTCCGAGCATGATTCCTCTGCATTAGTTCAAAGCTAAAGTTTTCCTGAGTGTTTTGGTCAAAACTAACCCCTCCACCAACCAAATAGAACTTGGTTATGCTTCTCATTATGGATGACATGGAGGTACAGCACCAGGGACCTGGGTTTGATTCCAGCCTCGGGTGACTGTCTGTGTGGAGTTTGCACGCTCTCCCTGTGTCTGCGTAGGTTTCCTTCCACAGTCCAAAGATCTGCAAGTTAGGTGGATTGGCCATGCTAAAAATTGGTGTCTTTAAAAAACAGTGTCCAGGAGTGTGCAGGTTAAGTGGGTTAGCCATGGAAAAAGCTCCACGCAAGATTACAGGGGTGGGATGGTGGATCTGGGTGGGATGCCCTTTGGAGGGTCAGTGCAGACTTGATGGTCCAAATGGCCTCTTTCTGCACCGTGGAGATTCTGTGATCTGTCGACGATGATGGATAGACAATGACAGGCAGCTAAAGTGTTTGCATTATTCTTGAGCACTTCCCATAGTACAAGGCGAGCAGACAAGACCCAAGACACTCCTTGCAGATAATGGTTTGCAATTTCTTCTTTTGCAAAGTCCCTGCTTAACTATCCCCTTCAACATTTGAAAATATTAACACTGACTACACTTTGATTTAAAAGAAAAGGGGAATGATGGTGATTCCCTTCGGACTGTTAATTCCTCAGGAAAGTTGGAGAATGATTCTCTCCTTTGTGGGATATAACTTGGACACTCTGCCCAGGACACACAGCAGCAACCAACCTCTTTAACTGAAAGTGGCTGAGGAGAACCCAGTCGATATAACAGTATACTGTTAAAGGATGTCTTTAATTTATATGACACCTTTCATAGCTGGTGAAAACCTTTTGATGCACAGCCACCTTGTAACACAGTGCATGCTTTCCCCTTTCTTCTGGCATTTATAAGCACTGCCCTGAAGTTACATAGGCTGTTCAGGGAAATCCCTGAGGGAAAACATTCCCAGTGATGCTGAGTGTCCCAACTCTTCCTGTCAATTTTGACTGCTCACGTAAACTCTAAAAGCTTCAGATACATTGCCAAGTTGGCCAACAGAAGTTGTAAAATGGCAACCTTTCTTAGTGTTGCTCTTCTTCGTCAAATGCTTGATTTTTAGCTTCCGTTTTCTACCTGGCTGTGCGATCTTGATTCATTCTTCTCCTTGAATCATAGAAATCTGAAGCAGAGAGAGGCTCTTCTGCCCATTACATCCATACCAATCAAGTTTAACGATCTAACTGTTCTAGCCCTATTTCCAGCATCTGACCCCATGGCCTTGGCATCGCAAGTGTAAATCTAAATACTTGAATATTATGTTTCTGCCTGTGCCAACCTTTTAGTCAGTGAGTTCCAGATTCCCACCACCCTGCGGGTGTAAAGTTTTTTTTTGTTTGTTTTTTTTTCCCCCTCCCTCTTCTAAATCTTCTGTTCCTTACTTTAAACCTATGTTCACTGGTTATTGATCAAGGCAAAAGATTTCTTCCTATCTATCCTTTCTATGCCTCTCATAATTAGATACATCTCAATCATGTGCCCTCTCTATCTCCTCTGCTCTAAGAAAAACTGTCCAATCTCTTTTCATTACTGAAAGTCCAGTCCAGGCAACATCCTGGTAAATCTCCTCCGCACCCTCTCCAGTGTTATCACATCCCTCCTAGAATGTGGATTCCAGAACTGAATCCTGGTTTAGTTTTTCTGTTTAAATTTTGTTCAGAGCTTCAACTTTCTTTTAACTATTGAATTTATTCCGGGTAGAACTGTGTTTAGGTTTTTAATAGACAAGAACGTCGAGAGGTGTGTGGAATGGCAGACAGGAAAATGCAGTTGAGACTACAATTGGAGCAGCCATGATCTTACTGAATGGCATATCGGGCTCAGTGGGCTCCTATGATCTGTATTGATCCTTTGCTGCTTTTTTTTTTGTATTTACAATACTATTTTGGTACTGACTGCTTCAGAATGGACAGAGACCTCCAGTAAAGAATTGTAGGCAGATTAATGGACAAAATGCTATTTAGGGGTTGGGTTAACTTTAAGTACTTATGTCATATAATGGTCATCTAGTGGTCCACAAAGTTGCTCTTTTAATGATTATATTCTGAAATATAGTACTTAATGTTAGGGCAATCATTTGGTTTTGGTTTGGCAATGTTCAGTAGACTTCATTCTTGGCTAAGGTGGTGCATTTACATTAAGTTGAATGTTCAGGGTTCCAAGGCATTACTGAAAAAGCAAAGGAATTCTTGTGACAGTCTCAGTATTTATCCCTCATTCAACATCACTAAATCAGTTGAATAGGTCGTTTATTTCTTAGCTGTTTGAGACAGTGCAATGTTGAAATTGGCTGCACCTTTTCCTACATTGATAGTTATTGTCACTCAAAAATGATTAGCTGCCCACAAACCATGTGGGAGTGCCCCTACCTCTGAGCTCTGGGTTTGAGTTCCATGCCAGGAACCGTTCTCTATGGAAAGTGCGCTTAAGACATGGACAAACAGGTTGGCTATCAGCCTGTCAGTCATTCCAATTCACCTGGTGCCAGGAGTTGGGGAGTTTCCTGCTCAGCTGTGCCCTGCAGAAGACAATGGCAAGCCACTGTGGCACATTGCCAAGTCTAATCATGGGCCAAAACCAAAAAGTCCATGAATGTCAACGCTGCCTCAGGACGAGGTACCTGAGAGACTGAGGGTGTGCACTTTGGGGTGTCCTGTGGCCGTGGACGAAATAGGTTTCTCTCTTTCCTTTTTACTCTTTCTTTCTATCCTCAGTTGCTGTCTGTCCCAGCCTATTGTTGCATGCATTTCCTTCATCTTGACCTCTTCTGTCCTGAAGCTGATGGTTGCCCTTTAGTGAATTGGGATTGGGATTTCTCCTTCATATCTGCTAACACGTGACATTTTTTAACTTCTACAAATGAAAATTTTGTCTGAAATGTGGAAATGGAGCCAATCTCAAATGCAACACTTTTCCTGCCACTCTTTCTCCTTAGAATGCCCCACGGAGAGTCAGCATTGCAACAATTCCGAGACACACTGCAGGAACACAGTTGGACACGGTAAGCGATTTACAGCGTTAGGAAATACCTGCACCTTTTATTGGTCCAAGCAACACTGGGTGGGCTGGATACTTCAACTGGGGACCTGTTTAGGCAGTTTGGTTTGAGTTGGCAACCAGAATGCCTTGGAAATACTTGATATCACAGAAGGATTTGTGATAGAGCCAGTGCCTAGCCAATTGGCAACTTTAAGACACTTATGAACCAGCTTGCTCTCTAATATAACAGATTGTCACCATCACTTAAACATGGTCTGTTTCTCTTCTCTTCAACCTGTCCTACCAAATTTCCCTGCCCCTCTTACTTGGAAAGTGACAGAGCTTACAGACTGGTCTGAACAAGCAGTCTACATGTGACCCAGTTCAGGGAACATCAGTGCCTAAAGGGCTGACATAAGCACTGGAACATGACAAGAGATGACAAATCTATCCAGTTATGTGTTATCTTGCTCCCCTAACCACAGTATTACAAACTCTTTGAAGATTAAAAAATACAAAATACCTTGGGCTAATTATAAAAGCTCTGGAAGTTCTTTTCCAACCTTTTGAAGGTCATCAAGTTCTAGGATATTCAAGTGATTGACAAGAAATATAGCAACTTCTTGGCTACAGTTCCACTGCTTGATATGACCTGAACTTATGTTTGTCCGACTCCCTAGCAATGATTTTATACTTGCTGCACGTTTAGGTAATTTATTCCAGATGTTGATTTAGTTTGGAAGATTTTCTTTTATGACATCAGTGTTATTGTTTTTGATTAGAAAGCCATCTCTTAAATGCTTATTTTTGGAGATGGGAATCTACATTGGTCATCTTTTGACTCTAGGTTCTCCAACACCAAACCCTTCCCGCACCTCCCACTCCTCAAAAATAAGAGTGGTTCCTTAACTTCTGAAACGTATTAAATTCTGAAGTTGTAAAAAGTGCATTTCGATTTACAATTTAGTTGAAGCTGAAGGAAATGGATGATGGAAGAAGGAAGTCAGAAGGAGACCAGGACAAGTTGCGGAACAAGCTTAACAGAAAGTTAAGCAGTTGGTAAGACATCGGTCATCTTCAATATTGCTTTCAGGAGAGGTGTTGTGCCTTGTGCTCTTTTAAGGCTTGGGAGAGGCCATTCAGCCATTGATCCTGCTAGCTCTTTGAAAGTGATCAACTAAGTCCCACTTTTTACCTGTTGTCCTGCAGATATTCCCTTTCCAAGTAAATTATCTACTTCTCTTCTGGAAGTCACTGTTAACCTTGCTTCCACATCTTCACTCTCTCGAACAACTGTCAGATTCTTTTTGAGTTTGTTTTACCAATCCAAAAGTAGAAAACCTATTGTTGCATTAATGTTTGAGTGTGAGATTTGCTGTGCTCAGACTGCCCAGCTGTCTTCTCTCAAGTTAAACAGGGCATTACTGTTTTTATTCCTTAATGACTTGGTTCAGCTCAACACTTCAGGGTAAATGAGAATGTGGGACTTGCACAACATGGAATGGTTGAGTTGAAGAATGTAATGTATTTAAAGAGGAAGCTGGATAAGTTCACGAGTGAGAAAGGAGTTGAAAGGTGTCCTCTGAGCTTAGATAGATTTGGGTGAGAGGAGATTAATATGCTGTATGAACAATAGCACAGACCTGATGGGCCAAATAAACTGTGTTTATTCTGTGATTTAAGTTTGAATTTAATTTATCAGAATGAGGAAATAACTTTCATAATTAAATGGTAACTGCTTTAGCACTCCTTGCTCAATTCAGGCCTTCACTGATTCAAGAGAAAGTGTCGACTGAATCGGCACTGGTATCAGAAGGACGGCCTATTGCAGCTAACTGATCTAGTATTTATTACAGTAGGAGACAACTTTCAGCCCATCGTGAAACAGTTAACTCTTCAAAAGTGATCAATTAGTCACATTCTTTACCTGTTGCAAATTTCATCGTCATGTAGCTATCAAAATCTCTTCCGGAACTTACTGTTGAACTAACTTCCAGCAACTGTCCATTTTCTGTTTTTTTTTTTTAAACTTGTGCTCTACGCTTACTTTTGCTGTAAATGAGTTAAATTAAGAGCCACATGTTGAATAATGTTTGCTGATGATTGCACAATTTTCAGCTCCATTCACCACTCCTCAGATACCAAAACAATCCATATCCAAATTCAACAAGATCTGGATAATATCCAGGCTTGAGCTGACAAATGGCAAGTAATTTTTGCACCACACAATGACCATCTCCAATAAGAGACAATCTAACCACTGCCCCTTGCTATTCCATGGTGTTACCATCACTGAATCCCCCGCCATCAACATCCTGAGGAGTACCATTGACCAGAAACACGACTGGACTCCCCACATAAACACTGGCTGCAAGAGCAGGTCAGAGGCTAGGAATCCTGTGGCAAGTAACTGAGCTTCTAACTCTCCAAAGCCTGCCCACCATGTACAAGGCACAAGACAGGAGTGTGAGAGAGTATTCTACAATTGCCTGCATAGGTGCAGCTCCAATAATATTCAAGAAGCTGAACTCCATCCAGAAAAATGCAGCATACTTTATTGGCACCACATTCACAAACATCCACTGCTCCCACCACCGACGCTCAGTAGCAGCAGTGTGTACTATCTTCAAGATGCACTGCAGAAATTTGCCAAAAATCCTTCTAATCCCTTGACTCCTTCCATCTAGGAGGACAAGGGTAGCAGGTACAAGGGAACACCACCATCTTCAGGATCCCCTCCAAGCCATTCAGCATCCTGACTTAGAAATATATCACCATTCCTTCACTGTCGCTGGGTCAAAATCATTAAATTCCTTCCCTAAGGGCATTGTGGGTCTACCTGTAGCATGTGGACTGCAGCAGTTCAAGAAGACAGCTCACCACCATCTTCTCAAGAGTAACTAGGGATGCATCATTTACTTGGCACTTCTGGCTGAAGATTGCTGCGAATACTTCAGCCTGATATTTTGCACTGTTGTGCTGGGCTTCTCTGTCATTGAGGATGGGGATATTTGTGGAGCCTTTTCCTTTGGTGGTGTCTTGAATTGTCCACTGTGTTTTATGACTGATGTGGCAGGACTGCAAAACTTGGATCTGATCTGTTGGTTGTGGAATAACTTAGCTCTGCCTATCAATTGCAGGCCAAACAGCATAAGCAGCAAGTAGTCTGTTTGGTGGCTTCATCAGTGTAGGAGCAAAACCCCCTGACCGGGGACAAAGACTCAGGCAGGATTCAGGCAAGTGGCAGACTTTTATTCAAGCAACAACCCATTAATGCAGGGAGAGGGCCAAAAGATCTTCCCTGAATCTGGCCTCACTATGAGAACCCAGTCATGCTCCTAATCTATGGCTCAGATCAGAAGAGAGATCAATGACACGCTGATTTTTACAGTGAAATACAGCATTTTTATACATTTTGTGTTACAATAATCACATACAGCGAGGTCACTGTGTCCTTCTCCCTTATCCTGTATATCCATTTCTATGGACAACCCCAGGTTCCCGTGATGCCATGGTGTTTAATACAAAAGATGGTTTGTTTTAACTAAATGCTATAAGATTCATAATATTAATTTCCCACATAAAGTTAGTTGTACTTTTTAATGAGTTGCCAACAATCTATTTCGTGCAGGACATACCAGGAAGTTTTTAGAAGTCTGGAAAGCATTTCCCAAGACTAATTAACTTTCACATCTATGTTTAAATGTTTTTCCCCTAATTCTTCTATCATACTTTGGTTATATATGTGTATCTAAATTATATTGAAATCTACCGCTATGATTATCTGAAAAATCTTTAACCAGAGCCTATTTCTTAATATTGTGAATAACTTCAAAGAAATAACTGATTACTACAAAATAACTTCAGCTGTTGTTTTCACATCTGTTTGAGTTAACCTGACTGGCTCATGGACCGAAATTTACGCCCTTTGTTCTAACTGGTGCTGTTCACCTAATGGGACAACATGCTTTCATTAATTAGGGTGGAATCAATCACTTGTATTTTAATGAACATGTGTCTATCCTAAGATATCCTCTTATCAGACTATCTCTGATGTTTGCTTGTAGGGTCTCTCGTTCACCTTGGAGTAGCCCTGTTCAAAGGTGCCATTATGTTTCACTTCAATGGGGAAGCAATGACCTAGTGGTATTTATTGCTGGACTGTTAGCCTAGAGACCCAGGTAATGCTCTGGGAATCTGGGTTCAAATCCTGCCACAATGGGATTTAAATTCAACATTTCAAGGGTGGCACGGTGGCTCAATAGTTAGCACTGCTGCCTCACAGGGACCCGGGTTCGATTCCACCCCTCGGGCGACTGTCTGTGGAGTTTGCACGTTCTCCCCGTGTCTGCGTGGGTTTCCTCCGGGTGCTCTGGTTTCCTCCCACAGTCCAAAGATGTGCAGGTTAGGTGGACTGGCCATGCTAAATTGCCCGTAGTGTTGAGGGATGTGTAGATGAGGTGGGTTATAGGGGGATGGGTCTGGATGGGATGCTCTGAGGGTTGGTGTGGACTTGTTGGGCCGAAGGGCCTGTTTCCACACTGTAGGGATTCTATAATCTATGAATGCTGGAGCAAGCTGGTTTAATTCTAATTACCCTTTGTTGGCCATTTTATGCCTTTCAAACATGGACAGCCCTTACAATCAGATTGATACCTCATCTTCATCCGCCTGGTGCTGCTCCTGATAATGCCTTCCTGTACTCTCCATTGAACCAGGGTCAATCCCCTGGCTTAAAAAAAACGAAAGAACTGCAAATGCTGTAAATCAGCAACAAAAATAGGAGTTGCTGGAAAAGCTCAGCAGGGCTGGCAGCATCTGTGAAGAAAACAATCAAGTTTACGTTTCGAGTCCGGTTCTGAGGAAGGGACCTGAAACGTTAACTGATTTTCTTTTCTTCACAGATGCTGCCAGACCTGCTGAGTTGATCCTCTGGCTTGACGGTAATGATTGAGTGGGGGATATGCCTGGCCATGAAGTTGCAGATTATGCCTGAGTATAATTCTGCTGCTGTTGATGGCCCACAGCACCTCATGGGTGTCCAGTCTTGAGTTGCTAGATCTGTTTGAAGTCTGTCCCATTTAGGACGGTGATAGTGCCAAATTTACACAGTTAATGGTAGGGCCCTAGGAAGTGTTGTCGAACAGAGACCTAGGGGTTTAGGTACGTAGTTCTTTAAAAGTTGCATCACAGATAGACAGGGTGGTTAAGAAGGTGTTTTTAGTATGCTTGCTTTCATTGCTTAAGCCATTGAGTAGAGGCATCACATTGAGATTGTACAGGATGTTGGTGAGGCCACTTTTTTTGGAGTACTGTGTACAGTTCTAGTACCCTCTATAGGTAGGATATTATTAAATTGGAGAGAGTTCAGAAAAGATTTAAAGGATGTTGCTGGATGGTTTGAGCTATAAGGGGAGGTTAGACAGGCTGGGACCTTTTCACTGGCGCTTAGTTGAGGGGTGACCTGCTAGAGGTTTATAAAATCATGAGGGACACAGATAAGGTGAATAGCAAAGGTCTTTTCCCTAAGGTAGGTGAGTTCAAAACAAGAGCGCCCAATCTGGCATGGCCTCAGGGTGGTCTCCCAGCCTTGAGGTGAAGCCTGGCGCGGTCTGGAGTCAAGGTGTGGTGCAATCTGGAAGCCAGGTGCCAGTGTGGACTGGGTTGGAAAGACTGTTGTTCTGAACTTTTTATTTCTCCATTTTCTAATTTAGTCCTCCGATCTGTAACGCTGGACTTTTTATTTCTTTATTTTTCTAATTTTTTTTCCTCCTAAGAACTTGTACTGAAGAATCTGTACCTAGGTACCTTGTACCTGAGATGGCACCTTAACTGACAACTTGTAAACTCATTTGAGTACATGTAACAATAAAACTAATTCAATTCAAACCATCACATTGCCATTTAGTCACATGTAGAATTTAAATTACCTATTTAAATTGCAATCATTTTTAATCATCTATTTTGGTTTACTATAGGAAAATTCTAGGATCTAAAGAAAAAGATCCATGTACAGCACGACCAACACTGCATCGACTTATAAGCACCTGTACCTGGGGTGACAAAGACAATCAGGGGTGAGTGTCTCATTCACAGTTTAGTTATTCCCTCCATGTGAAGAGTGTAGGCAGATATCTTCCTTAAACCCTCCTGCCTAGAAATGATTTAATATTTTCTCCCTGGTTTGTGCAGTTGCAGCATTTTTTAAAAAAAATTGATTCATGAATTTATGCATCACTGGCTCATTCCTAACAGTCCACAAGAAGGTGGCGATGAGCTGCCTTCTTAACCCACTGCAGTCCATGTAGGGTAGGGACGCCCAGAGTACTGTTAGACAGAATATCCCAGGTTTTTGGCCCAGGAACAGTGATCTAACTATGAGTCCGGATGGTGTCTGGCCTAGAGCAGAATTTGTAGGTGGTGGCGTTTCCATATAGCTGCTGCCATTGTCCTTCTAGATGCTACAGATTGAGTTGGGAAGGTGCTGCTTAATGAGCCACGGTGAATTGTTACAGTGCATTTTGTACACACTGCTGTGGCTGAGAGTCAGTAGTGGAGGGAGTGCGTGGTGAAAGTGGTTCCTCAGTACGCTATGGAACTCCTGCAGAGATGTCCTGGAGCTGAGATATTTGACTTCCAACAACCACAACCATCTTCATATGTACTAAATATGATTCCAACCAGGGTGGAGTTTCCCCTTGATTCCCATTGACTCCAATTTTGCTCGAGCTCCTTGATTCCATAATTGGTCAAATGTGGTCTTGATGATAGGGGCAGTCATTCTCCCCTCACCTCTGTAGTTCATCTCCATATTTGAACTGAGGGTGTAATGAGGACAGAAGCTAGGTGGCCTTGACAGAATCCAAATTGAGTGTCACTGAGCAGGTTATTGCTGAGTCAGCGCCACTTGAAGCACATCTCTGCAGGAATTCCGCAGGGTAGTGAGGAACTAATTCAACATTCACTCCTTCCCCTACTGACTCACAATCGCAGCACTGCGTACTTGAAGCACTTAACAAAAGTTGATGACCCCTTCCATCACTACTGCTGATCCAGAGTGAACTGTTGGGGCTGTAATTGGCAGTTTGATTTGTCCTGCATCTTTGCGTACACATACATAGGCAATTTTCCGCATTGTCAGGCATATGCTGCTGTTGTAGCTGTATTAGAATAGCTTAGCGTCAGCCTTACTGCTCCTGTGGTGCTGCTTGGCCTGCTGTGTTCATCCAGCTCTGCACCTTGTTGTCTCGGAAATGCTTCAGGCTTGTCTTTTGCACTGATGGGCTGGGCACCCCTATAATTTGTGATTGGAATATTCCTGCCCCTGAGTTGACGCTTGTATGCTCATATTACCACTCCAGAGGTTGAAGCGCACAATCAAGTCTAACAGTCCAGTGTTGTGTTGTGGACTGTGTTGTCTTTTGGATGAGACAATAAACAGAGGGCCTGGCTGCTCCCCTCTGACACCTAATTTCAAAGAACAGCAGGGGTGTTTTTCCCTGTCACAACAGATGCCTCGTCATTCTCACATTTGTGTGTTGGACCTTGCTATAAGCAAACTGCCATCCCATTACAATATGACTATACTTCAAAAGAAAGTACCATACTGACTGCAAGTGCTTTAACATGTGCTGAGGTAGTGAATGGGGCTAAACAAATGACTCTTAACACTGTATCAAGTACAATATTGTTACTGTCACCTGCAAAAACCCTTCATAGCTTTTATCCTTTAATGCTGCGATCCTTTCCAGTTCATTAAGCTTTAAAGCTATAGGGTCACTTGACTTGGAGATTCGCAACCTTTGCCTTTGCATCTCTCCATTCCTCATTCCTCCATCATAACTGATGTTGAAATCTTCAATTACTTTGGCCCTGATCTCTAAAGATCCTCCATGCTTTTACCGCAAGTTAAGGCACCGTATTCTTGCATTAGACTCTCGCTCATCCAAAAACCCAGGCTAATTCTCTGAGGATGTTAGTTCAAATCCTACAATGGCAACTGGTGAAATTTAAATTCAAGCAATAATTTCAACTAATTAATGTAAATATGGAATTGAAAGTTAGTCTCAGGAATGGGTGCAATGAAACTGCCATCGATTGTAATAACTCACTAGTGTCCTTTAGGGAAGGAAATCTTTCTTTACCTGCTCTGCTCCACGTGGGACTCCTCAGCCAAAATAAATGTGGTTGATTCTGAGCTGCCCTCTGAAATTATTCCATAAACCACTCGGATCCAATGCAATTAGTAGTAGTCAATGGTGGGTGGCCTTTCCAGTGATACCCCATGGTTCAATCAAAAAAGAATTAAAATAATTTGTGTGTGAAGAATTCATTGTTAAACCAAATTTCCACGTGCATTTTAGAACATCTCAAAGACTTCACTTCCCATCTTTGTCTGAAAAGTATGGGTTTATTTTCTGAAATTGACCCATTATGGCAATATATTCCCTAAACTAGTAAAGAAAATACTTCTATATTAAGTCCAATAAATCTTAGTTTAAAATTAAACCTGGACCAATCACCAGATGAAGTTGTTGCCAACCCATCTGATGAATTCAGCCTGCTGCTTATTGTGAGCAAAGAATAGGAACAGGATTAGGCCATTCAGCCCGTTGAGCCTGTTCCACCATTCAATGAGATCATGGCTGATCAGTAGCCTAACTCCATATACCTGCCTTTGGTCCATTTCCCTTAAACTTTTATTCAGCAAAAGTATTATCTATCTCAATTTAAAATTAACAACTGATCCAGCATCCATTGCTGTTTAAGGAAGTCAGTTCCAAACGTCTACCATCCATTTGTGTGTAGAAGTGTTTCCTAACATCTCTCCTGAACAGTCTGGCCTTACTTCTCAGACTATGCCCCCTAGTTTTAGATGTAGATGTGAAAAAAGATTAAATTAAATGGTTTGAGTCTGATCTATCCACTTTGCTGCTGTCCAGTAGGAATGCACCAGCATTAGATTCACAAGAGGAAGAGAAAGAAAAGGACGTGGAAGAAGAAGCTATCTTAACTGAACCAGAAAAGAAGTCTCCAAATGCTGAGCCATGTGTTGTGTAAGTATGCTGTCTGACTTCTGCTAATAATACAGGTCATAGATTTCAGTAACTAAAAGGCCAAGGTCTTGTACTTTTCCAATGGAATCTACTTTAACATGCAGGGGTCTAAACTAATAGCTGTGTAATAATAGGCAGTGACATCCATGACCATGAGTGAATATGAAAAAAATGACCAGGAATGCAAATGTGAAGAACAAACTGGGGCCAGATGTTGCTATCCTGACAGGGTAAACTTGTGTGAGGTCTTCAGGGCTCCACTTTGCCCATGGTGGGAAAAGTGGTAGTTTATGACCCAGACAGTCGGGTCAGTGATGTCTGGATCACCGTGTTCAAAGCCTGCCTGAAATGCTAATTTCTCATCCAATGGTACTTTCATCGGGGAATGGTGCCTTCTGTGGAGTTTGTGAACCAAATGAGGATTCTTAGCCGGTTTAAAAAGAAATGAGAGGCCATTTCTCTCTCTAGCTGCTACAGGTAAGGATGTCTCATCCGCCAGCGAGCTGGGAGAATCTCTGAGCACTCAGTGACTGCCACAGCCCAAAGCTATGGGACATTTGCCCTTTCAGAGAGCCTCCTACAATCTCCCACCTGTGGACAAAGATGAGATTAGCTCCAAACACACCAAGTCATTCCAGTCCAGCAACAGCAACAACCTCCTGTGGCACAAGATGTGGCCCAAGATTGCAGGAGGCACATGGCTTCAGGGCGTTCAAAGGAAGAGTAGGGGATGTCAAAGCACATAACTTTATTGTATTCCATCAGTCCAGGTTTTTGCCCACTTGCCTTTCCAACTACTTTTGTCTCATCTGTAAATTTGGCAATAGTACATTCACTTCCCTCATTCAAATCAGAAATATTATAACTATTGTGACCTCAGCACTGATCCCTGCTGCACTCTTAGTTCCAGGTTGCCATCCTGAAAATTCCCCTTTTTTCTAACTTTGATTTCTATTACTTAGCCAATCCACTATCCATGCTAATATATTGTGCCAAACACCATGGAGTCTTATCTTAAGTAGCCTTATGTTTGGTACCTTCATCAAATGCCTTTTGGAAATCCAAATATATTACATCTACTGGTTTCCCATTATCTCTTCTGCTTGTTACCACCTGAATGAATTCTAATAAATTCATCAGGTATGATTTCCTCTTAACCTGTGTAAAACTCCTGTGAAGCCCCTCAAGATGTTTTACTGCATTCAAGGTGCTATCCAAATAAAAATTGTTGACTATTTTTGGACTTCACGTAACATTGATATAGAGGCCTACTATATGTTGGGGTGTTTCCAGTCCCAAAGATCAGCAACTTCTGATGAGTTGATGAGTATAATTAAGGTGAGAGAGATGGAGACTGGGAATGTTACAGTTTTGTTGTAGAAACCTTTAGTCATTTTGACAATGTTTGTACATAGCCATTCATTTTTTACCACGTTCCTCCTTAACCTCATCTTTCTTTGTTTTCTCCACTTTCCTGTGGGTGGAGTAGAGTAAAGCTTTTAAAAAATGCTGTACAAATGTTGGAAAAATGCAATGATCTTTTGGTAGATGTAGGTAAATGTTATGGATTTGGTCCACTCATTGAAACCAGGAAATCCTGTGAAATTAAGCATTAACCTTTTTCTTCTATTTGGCATGATGTCAGCATATGCGAACAAATGAAATGGAACAAGAGGAGACCATACGGTGCAATGAGTCTGCTCCATTCTTTGATAAGATGATGGCTCAACACTGTCTACTCTCTTGACCCCATGCCTATGATTAAATGCCTTGATTCACTTAATGCTCAAAATTCTATCTATCTTAGTGATGACTATTTTCAAGTCAGCGTATTTCCTAGCAGTTTAAAAATCTTTCCTCCATTTGGGTTTGCTTTGAGTCTTAGAGAAAGTTCAGTGTGTATGATGTACGGCTTGACCTTTCAATCTGTTTATTCTGTTTTAGTTATAGAGGGATATCGCGGCATCTTGTGGAATTGTGGGATACGTTTTCCAAAGGTGACCGATTACCTTGGCTGCCTATTATACTCTTTTTCTCACTAAGCATTTTGGGCAGCTTTCTCATTGGCTGGACATTCCACACATCTGTTGATGCTGCCTCCGTGGTCTCTGGGGACTCGTGGAAAGTGATACAGCAGTTTCTGTGGCCTTACACAGAACTTCGACACAATGGGCAGCCCCCTGTATAACTTACAGTTCCATTTCCCAGCCAAGTGGGCTCTGCGTTGCAACTCTCAGAATCCTCTTGATTGTCAGCTGAGTGGCTCGAAACGGAATGGGATTATGTTAAAACTAAAGTACGTTGTTTAAGATTTTAACCTTGACAAATTATGGTACACAGGAAAGTATTAAATAGTGGACAAAACACTTTTCTGGATTGTCTATACATTTGGAAAATCTTTTTTTATGATACAAGAGGTGATTTTACAATAGCTGTTCAACTCTAATTTTTTGCCTGTTAAAGGCAAATTTGGTCACTAAAACAGGTAGAGTATTTGGCTGTTCTTCATGTGAAGTTCCCAATCGTTGAGTTTTTTAAATGGATAAATATTAATGTAAAAAGCAGCAAGATTAACATGTCTATAAAGTTAATAAGTTTAGATGTACTTGTGTAAATCATACTCAATAAAGTCTTCAGTTAACCTGCACTGTGTGTGTGAGCAGCTTCGTGGCCTCTAGAATTTCTTGCACGGAACCAAGAAAGAGATGGTCAGCATTTAGAATCCTGTCCTTTGCGGCATCACTGGCTAAGCCCCTCATCATGTGGTACAAGTTAGAGTAAAAATCAGTATTTTCAGCTATTTCATTTGACAACTCTTCATTGGATTCCTTCATCTTCAGTTTGTGACACCTCTCTGGGCGTAACATGTACAGAGACCAGTCATCCTCTGATATCATCCCGCCAGATAAACTTTCACAAGCCTGTGATTCAACAGAGGAAAGTGCAGGTACTGCTTTATAAATTCATCTGAGCTAAGACAGTAACAGTTTTTCCAGCACAGATTACATACTTCAAATAACCATCACAAAACTCTGCATAGAAAGTTCAAATGAAAGTTTGCTTCATAGTTTATTTCTATTCTCCCTTGCTAGTTCAAATGACAATCTAAAATACATACTTAAGGGCCACAAATTTGCTTCTTATTAAATGCAATATGTATTTATGGTTCTCCGATACAAGTTCTAGATTACCTATCTAATTTATTTAATATTATCTATTAAGCTCAATGTAAAGTGGTAGACTTAAATCTCCTCCCTTAATATTATGCTGACATACTGGCTTTATTTATTTTTGAGGATAGTGGGTGCATTGGCAACCTGACCATGGCCTAGGGATCTGAGAAAGAAGCTCTACACATTTTAATTGCTGTGTCAAATTTAAATAAAGCCTGTTTTGCTCCACAAGCAGTATGGGCATCCGTGCCAAAACAGCACTGTTTTGATCATCCTAAGATAGCAATGAAGTCATCAGGCAATGAAATTTTAATGGTGAAACAGTTTTTGCCTGTGTGTAATGGAAAACTGAGCTATTTAGATGATTGGTGTCTATCGAATGGTGTCAGAAGGGAATGGAGAAACCTCAAACCAATAAGTGGACTCAACCTGACTGAAATTCCACACCCTAACTCCTTTTCTTACTAGGTCAAGGATCGGTGAAAGCAAGATATTCAAAAAATGAATACACAAATTAAAATTTGCTAAATATTCTATTTAATGGTGGGAGAGTGATAAATGTTTATTGTCAGATTTTATTTTACAGTGTATCTTTTTAATGAATGACTGTCTTTCTGTCCTTTACATTGGCTTCATGTAAAAATATTTATTTGATGACACAGAACTGCCTTGGAATGTCTTACTGCATTAAATGTGCTATATAAGTGCAAGTTATTGTTGTATTTACCTGAAGCAATATTTCTTCAGGTTCAGAGTGTATGTTCCATTTACTGGATCTAAAAGCTATTGCAGAGCTCACCAGGGCCATCTGCGCATATGTGTTCTGTGCCATCTCCTTGTTCTGTGTACAAAACACATTTTTAAGTATGATCAGCCGAGACATGTTACTTGAAGTAAAAATGCAATTGTTGTTACTCCTCTTCAACCATTAACAAGCTCAGTATTTTGCTTCACTTAGAACTTTACCCTCACCTCCACTTCTATCATTCCCTTCTTGCTAGATTTCTATGATCTCTTCTAGAATAAACAGTAAATTTTTTTGGTTCCATCTGCCAGCTTCTGCCCCCATGACTGTAAAAGGTCTGTCCTTCCTATTACAGCTCAAACACTTCTCCATGCTTGTCACTTTAATCTTGATCTCTTGTAAATTGTCTTCCATTTTCCACCCCAACTCCAATGTGACAAAGGTTACTAATCACAACCAATTTGATACTATCTGGACAACAAAGATACCTACGTCGGACTCCTGCTCGTTGACTACAGCTCTGCCTTCAACACCATTGTCCCTTCCAGATTGATCTCAAAACTGCGTGATCTTGGTTTTGGCTCTGCTCTCTGCAATTGGATCCTCAGCTTTCTGATCTACAGACTGCAATCAGTGAGGATAGGTAACTGTACCTCCTCCACAATAACACTCAACACTGGAACACACCCCCCCCCCCAAACAACCCCCCACCCGACCCCCCCCCCCCCCCCCCAAGCGTTCAGACCCCTACTGTACTCCCCGTACACCTACGACTGTGTTGCCAAATTCGGAATGAACGCCATCTACAAGTGATCTGATAAAACCATCGTAGCGGGATGGATATCTAACGATGATGAATCGAAATACAGAAGGAAGATAGAGGGCTTGATGACGTGATGCAATGAAAACAATCTGTCTCAACATTGGTAAAACTAAAGAACTAATCATCGACTTCAGAAAGAAAGGAGGAGAACACGACCCCACCCCCCCTCCTCCATCTACATCAACGGAACCGAGGTTGAGAGAGTGAAGAGCATCAAGTTCTCCAGAGTAACGGTAACAGATGACCTGTCCTGGACTTTCCACGTAACTGTGACAGTCAAGAAGGCACAACAATGTCGTCTCTTCCTCGGGCACCTCAGGAAATTTGGCATGTCCATTAGGACCTTCAACTTCTACAGATGCACCACTGAAAGCATATTGTCCAGATGCATAATGGCCTGGTATGGCAACTGCTCTGCCCAGAACCGTAAGAAACTGCAGAAGATGGTAAGCACAGCCCAGGCCATCACGGAAGCCAACTTTCCATCCATGGACTCTATTTACATGGCTCACTGCCCCAGAAAGGAGGCCAACATCATCAAAGAGACAGCACACTCCGGTAATGATCTCCTACAACCTCTTCCTTCGGAAGATACAGCAGCCTGAACACATGCACAAGCCGGTTCAGGAACAACTTCTTTCTGGCCGTTATCAGACTGTTAAATGGACTGTAGCCTCAAATAATGTAACCAGCACTGTAACCTGTGTGCATCAAAATCTTTTTTTGATCTGTACATCCTTTGCTTGCTGCAATTTGCCTGTACTGCTTGTAAACAAAGCTTTTCACTGTATTTTGGTACACATGACAATAAATCGAGCAAATCTAATCAAAGTTGCCCATCATGCAAAATCCTTGGCCTCTGTCTCTGCATTATAGATGCTATCAGTGTCTGTGCCACAATTGTGGAAGTCTATGCAATTAATCCCATTTATCTGCTCTTTCTACATAGTCCTGCAAGTTTTTCCTTTACAAATAAATCTCAAAATCTCTTTGAAAGTTTTATCTTTGAAAGATGGTGGAAGTATATTCCGATTGTGCTTTCCTTGTGATCCCCATCCCATCCCAAATGACATGTCACCGTACTGAACTGTTTTGAAGGATATTTGTGTTCCAGTCACATTTTATGGCATCCTGGAGTGTCATTAATATACAAAAGAACAATAAAATGCTGTTTAGTGTGCTGGCCAAAAACAAATGAACTCAGTATCTGATTGCTGTTATGGAACATAGGGGCCCATTAGGCTGCTCAAATTTGTTCTGGTATTCAACTGCATTACAGCTGATCAGTATCCCAATTCTGATCTTTGCTTCACATCTCTTAATATCTTTAATGCATCTAAAAACTATTAACTTCAGTTTTGAAGATTGAAATGGAGACCAGCATCAGCAAGTTTTAGGGGTAAAGTTGAATTGTATAATGCAGAGGGAGTCATTACATTTGAGGCGATGAGCCTGAAATCTAATGAACAAGTGCTGTACAGTGGGATTACTGTAGCTAGGCCAGTGCGGGCTCAATAGGCTGAAGACTCTATGACTCGAAATTCAAAAGGAGGATGCTTGAGAATTGTTGTGGTAGAAAAAAAAATCAATGAATGCTTTTTTATGCTAAACAAATAACAGCAGAGATGGTTGACAAAAATGTTTGTGACTTCAACTTGGTAACTGGCAGTTTCCAGAGTTAAAGGGTAAATTTAAACTTCTCTCAATTGTGAACAAATTGCTCAAAGAGGGTGTTGAATTGGACAAGATCCTCCTAAGTGCCTTCAATATGAAAAGGTAAATCCAAGCATTTCTCCTACCTGGAGTGGGGGGAGAAAGAGAGGGTGGAGGGCCTTTCTTTGCTTTTTTGGAGGGTGCAAGTTTTATTTTCAGTATAGAGCAGAGTGGAGATCTGGAAATATTCACTGCCTCTATATTTCAAAAGAAGACTGCCCAAAGTAACACAAACTTTACAATGCCTAGCTTCATCCTAATGTGTACAAATCCTTTTTAGTGAATATAATTAAGAAATATTATATCCTTGCACTAAATTATTTTAAACTATTAGGTACCAACATATCAGCTCCTTGCAGTTTTCCCTCAAAACAACTTTACTGATTGTTATTTTAATTAAAAAGGAGATATAATGGCTAATGGTAGCCTCCAGGATATTGATTTGGTGAATAGAGGATCTTGTAGCTGATATCTTTATCTTGATTCGCTGTAATTTCAGTCTCTATCGCTTGTCTATTGAGGTCAGTTTCATCCCAACATAGCCCAGGGATTCATCTACATATTCATTAAACCATATCTCTATATTTTCTGCAAGTACATTTGCAGTTTGCAACATTATTAACAAAATATTTTTGTAACCTCACTGACTGAAAGCATTTAACTGAAATCCTCTGTAATGGATCCAACTGCATCTAAAAAAGTTTGTTGCTGTTTCACCGCATGAACCCTGATGCCTAGCATTTCACTATCAGCATCTTCATCTGACTACTTGCAGCTTTAAATATTCAAAGTTTTTTTTTTTAATAGCTGTGTTTCCAAAACTTCTTCCCACTAGCACCACCATTTTGAAACCACAAGCTTTCATAGCACTGCTCCTTTGTCAGGTGAAGTGACTTTGGACCACATTCTTCTAAATCCTTCCTATTCATATACCAATCCAGATGCCTTTTAAATGTTATAATTACGTCAGCTTCCACCACTTCCTCTGGTGGCTCATTCACCCCCTGCATGAAAACGTTGCCCCTTAGGTCCCTTTTAAATCTTTCCTCTCTCACCTTAAACCTATGCCTTTGGTTATAAACTCCATGCCAGAAAAGACTTTGGCTATTCACTTACATATGTGCCTCATGAGTTATAAACTTCTATAAGGTCATCCCTCAGTCTCTGACAGTCCAGGGAATGCAACCTCTGCC